CGCCTGGGTTTGAGGAACCCAAGCGCTGGTGCTGTGTTCCTTCGAACCCAGTAGGGAGGGGAAGGAGAAAAGGAAAGAGAAGGAGAAAAAAAAAGGAAAGGAAAGAAAAAAAAAAAGAAAGAAATTTTTATTTAATAATTATTTATTAAATTATATTTATATAATTTACTTTAAAATTTACCGCATCATAACACTTTTATAATTAAAAAATGCCATATCACTTACTTTATTTCCACGTAATACTCAATAGTAATAAAAATTGAATTTCTTAATGGAGAATCTTGCTACATCAGCACTTAATTGATGGAAGGACGAAATTGGTCTCAAAAATTGAAGTTTAGGAATTTTTTTAGTACTTTTTGAAGTTCGAACGTAAATTTAATTCAAAAATGAAAGTTCAGGGGACTGAACTGGGGATTTAACCTAATTCTTATGCTTTTACTAACATGCCAATATGATTTTGGTAGATGTTTGACGCATATGGAAATGGTAGAATACCCAAATATACCCCCCAAGTATAGTGGCTGGGATAGATCAATCTCCAAACAAAAAATGGGATAAGTCCATTCACAAAGTTTTTGACTTTGACAAACCACCCAAAATTTAACGTATGACGTCATCTGATGTTAATAATTCGTTAATTTTTTATGTCGCTAATAACGGATTGTTGACGTCAGATAACATCAAATTAACAGATTGCTGACGTAAAATGATATCAAATGACGTCACATGTTAAATTTGAGGTAATTTATCCAAATCAAAAATTTTGTGAGTGGATTTATCTCCGTTTTTTGTTTGAGAATGGATTCATCTCTGTCACTATACTTTGGGGGTGGATTTGAGTATTTTACCTATGAAAATTGTCCCACAAAATATTAATACAATGAAAGCATAAGGAAAAGGTCAGCGTCTTGTTATGCATTTACTAGTGTTTAATTATCTGAGCCATTTTGGTGATTGTGGGAATTTTGTGATGTTCAATTCGAAATATGGAAGTGTATTAAATATTGTCATGGGTAGAGTACCCTTTATATTTTATAGTAATATATTTTATTTTTGCCACGTCAAAAAAAAAATTATCTATGCTTTTTTTGTTTTTTTTTTACAAGGGTAATGGTTAGAAAGTTAGTATGAATTAGTTGTTAACAATTGGAGATTTGATCCCCAGACCAGGTGAACGATCCCCAGACCGGGTGAACAATCCATCCTCTCAAATGAGGCACGCGGCCATCAAGCTGCTTTTTTGGTGGAGTTCACGACGACGGTGGAGCTCGAAACTCCGACCATCTCACCCAAGCACTTAAGGCTTGGGATTGAATCATTGGGCCTAAAAGCCCGGTTCTATCTGTGCTTTTTTTATACTGCATGGAAAATATTATAGGCACTGTACGCTAACTTTTTTAATTTCCTATGTTAATGTATTAAAATATGCTAAAAGTAGGAAAATTAATGTGTTAAAAGTCGGAGAATTTAATATTCAAAGGGGTAAATGGAGTCCATTCCTAGAATTCTGCCTTCTTGTAATGGATGATGGATGTTTATGCTGTATAGTTGGAAGTTATGGTTGACTGAGGATGAGGAAGAGTTCGTTGTGGAGAAAGGATGGGATTTTCGTTTCGTGGCCCGTAAGGGGGGGAGGGGCGTGGGTTGGGCTCAACTCACACCCTGTGCCTTGAAAAGAAAAAAAAATTCTGGTTCAGGCCCTGTTCAGGGAGGGAACCTTGGGCCGTGCCCACGGTTTAGTCCTGGTTCCGCCCTGGTTCAGTGGTGAAGATTTGTACATGGAAATTGGTCAAGTCATACGCCCCAAGATTAGTGCTTTGTCAAAGGCTGGAAGCGATATCTAATGTTGACACCTAATAGTTCGACAAATAAGGGTAGTGTCTTCCAAAATGTTTTGGTTTTGAGGTTAACTTATAGAGGGATTGACTGATGACTTAAGCTAATAAAAACCCAATTATGTTGAAAGCAGTTTTATGACAACCAATTACCAGCTGATATAGATTTCAATTGGAACCGCCTTTTCTAAGTACAGATACATGCTTAACCACTCAGGATAATGATGATGGAAGAAGTTTGTGGCAGTTGGGAAATATCCTTAGGAGATGTTAAGCAGGAAGAAATGGCGATACCTGGGGTCCATCAGGTTAGAGTTTGAATTGATGTTTGGGAATGAGAGGATGAAAGGTGACCTTGGGAAATCTCATTTGGAGGGTATTCGAGTTCTTTTTGCTACTAAAATGTTTTAAAAATACATTTCCTATATATACTCTTTTATCTACTATATCGGTATCTTTGGATAAAAATTAGTAAAGA